CTCAGTTCAATAAATATGAATAGGCCCTTACTCGTAAATGCTTAATTTAGTTTGTTTTCCATGGTTTTTTCTAAAATAAAAATAATTTTTCCACCTAATTTTCCAACCATTTTTAAGGAAATTACGATTTGAAGAATAATTTTTTTTTAATATTAATTTTAACTTAATTTTCCTACATCTTATAAATATATTTTTTTTTATAAAAAAAAAAGTGGGTTGAAAATAAATTTAGTATCGGAATTTAGCAAAATTTTATAGGAAAAATTAATTAAAAAACACAAAAAATAAAATAAAATAGGGGTATTATTAAAGTATTTTTTAGAAAAAATAGCAATTTTCGTCATTGTCGCCTGAGTTTATTGTTTCTATCAAACTGTCGCATATGGTAAGTATTTTATTTATTTATTTATTCACTTTTATTTTTTTTTATCAAATAATCACCGGAGTAAGTTTTTTTTTTACCAAATTGTCACTAGAGGTTCTTTTTTTTTAATTTTTTTTTTACTAATCTGGTCAATTGGATGTGGTAAGCAGAATATATACTTATATATTAAATCGCGTTCCTAAAAATATTTACGTGCCACGTAAATCCTCTTTTGTCGACTCAAATTGAGCCAAATTAAAGACATAAGATCACACTCGTTACCATCTTAGCCGCCTTTAGTATTTCGTTATCGTCACTATACACACATAAATTAATATACTTGTATTTTTTAAGGACAAAAATATTAACAAAAATAAATAGTCATGTAACTTGGAAAAGTAAATAAATTAAGAGGAATATTCTCAGCTATTCCAATACAATGAAAAATAATTCTCTTTAAATCTTTTTTTTTTATTTTTTTTTTTTAATTTTTTTTTAACTATGCTTATGTTTTAAAGCATTAACCCGATAAAAACGATCAGGCAACACACTAGTTTAGACTCAACAATGAGAAAATAAAGGTCTAGTTTAATTAATGGAGCTAGCTAGTATATATAATTATGCGAGACAGCCCTTAGCTTATTTGGTGAGATATATATAGCTAGTTTATGTTTGTTACACAAATTTTACACTTTTATCTTTGACATAAATAAGAATCTAGGTTCAATTTTCCTCGATCTCTATTATCGTTGTAGTTTAGACTTAACTTCCTCTATCTAAAGTGTCTAGCATTTGTCAAAAAAAAAAAATAATAAAAAATAAAAATAAATAAAAAAAAAAAGTGTCTAGCATAGTCATAGTTTGTGCGATTGCAAATGATAAATCGATCATAGTCGATCTATATTTATGGATGCATGCATGATCACTGATGTGTAATTACTTTGCTTTTACGAGTTAATGTTTAGTAACTTTCATAACTGCTAAGAAGTTTAGTTTTAGTGTTTTACTATGGTATCTTTATAACATAACTTTAAAATGATACATCACGCATGCATTATTGTTCAATATATACAACTTTATAATGGTGAAATAACGGTCTATTGTATAAAATAATACTACATCTATTAATTATTATGTGTAATAATTAACGGAGGTATTATAAACTATGAAGTATATCATCATTTGATAAGTCAAAACGTTGCGAGTAAAATAAGACCCAAAATACATATCCAAATTCCAGAAACATGAAGCATCTTCCAACATACACAAGTAAGTGAAGTAACACAACAATATATCGGATCGATCATGCATCATGGAGTAGCACTAACTAAACAAATTGGATAATTGGACCCACTTAAGCTGACGTTCTTTGTTGACCCAATTAGGGAGGTCAGTCAGTTTACAACTTTACACTGTACATACACTTAATTGTTGAATTAAGATGTTATGTTAATTAGTGATTAATCAACTTTAATTTAATTTGTCCAAACTTTTGAGAACCTTTTTATTAGGATTTGAGCGTGGATTAATATTTAATTTAATAAAATCACAACATAAGTACTACAGCTAATTGTGTTTAAGTGGGACTTTGTTTTTGCTACTCAAATCATTGCTTGTTCACGTCCACATTTGGCTGATTAGTTTTTGGGAAAAAAGACATTTTTGTTGATTCTTAAGATGTTATTATAACATACAAATTTGTACGTCTTAATTAATTAATAGTGATTAATCATTGACCCACCCTTAGATTATTCCTTGATTTGTTGGTTATCGTTAATCACTACGCAAATTGTCGTGTGTTTTATAATTGATTTTATGCAAATTGTTGTTGTTGGTTGTTAATTGGACATATCGTAATCATTATTGGCTTTATTCTTGTTAATTATATTTAGCACTTAAATCTCTCAAATTTTGATTTAGAAATTGTTAGTTAAATTGGCATATAAAATGAGTGTGAGTAAAACAATACCCTTTTTTTTTTTTTATCAGGTGAAAATGTATAAAATCAATTTAATTTTAATCGGTATTGGGATAGGTAAAAAAATATTTGATTTAGGGAAAAAAAAAAATTCTGATTAGAGTTATTAGCTAGGACTACCCAAGTATAGGTTACAATTAATAATAGAAAATTTGAAAATTTCTAATTAGATTTAATAAGTTCTAATTATTAAACTTGAATGACTAGTACTCATCCATAACCTATTACGGAGTAAACTAATTTAAATTACATAGAAATTTGTGTTAAAACTTATAAGACATGATACAAGAGATAATGAAGCAAATGGATGTTAGCTCCTCTCATTTCATCTACTCGAGCAAGAATTGAATAAAAAAAGACGGATTTTCTATAAACAAAAAGATAAATATTGAGTTAATAAGAATAATTTAGATGAAATTTTCATGATTTGAGCACATATACAAAGTATCAATGTACTATATAAGATCCAGAATATCGATATTCTTGAAAATCCCTTATTAGTAATCACTCTCCTCATATTTTGATCCCTAAATAAACTTTATTCTCACATGCCAAACGGGCGTTGTTAAAAATATTGAATTTTCCCCCTCCTCCCTAGACAAGTAGAGGGTAGTTCACTTTGAAAAGTACATGTAGAATAGTCTTAACATAAAAACAATGATAGGTGTGAGTATTATAGTCTATGGACCTAAAATAGTTGCAACGCAGAAAGTGGGCCTATGGTCCAACTAAGTCGTCGGCAAGTGAAGATTCAACTTTCGGACCATTTCTAAATTTGGACCCAGTTCAGCGTCTATGTCTTTGTACGACACTCTAGCCTCTCACGTTGTATACACTTGTACAACTATTACTAATTAGTATGCCCTCTTTAGGCGCTTAGCCTTTCATTTTTTTGATTGACACGTTTTGAATTTAACATTAATACATTATTCATATACTTTTTCTTTAACTGTATTTTGTGCTTAATACGTATTGAAAAATATAGTTGTTTCGAGTATACTTTGGTGGAAATATTTGAATCATTGATTGCACTGTTGAGGTCTCGAGCTGCTTGTTGGGATCTCGGGTTGCACAACTGGAGTCATCGGCAACGTCATTGGAGGACCTGTAAGAGGAAGAACGTAAACTGCTCTCGGGGTTGTTTCGAGGAACCCCTCTCCGATGGCTAACTAATTGTAAAATTTTGTTAGATTATTCGTTACAATATATTTTCAAAATATCATAATTTTGCTTATTAGTAATTAAAGATATAATGGTTGAAATTTTGCATTCGCAAACGTGAAAAATTCGAAACGTCTCAACTAAAAAGAAATGGAGGAATTACTCCGTAGTAAAATGTGAGTACTCCCTTTGTTTTTTAAATAAGAGCTCCATTTTAACTGTACATTTGTCAATGCGTTAATATGACTAATAATAGTATCTCTAATTAACAATAAGTATATATTGGAGTATAACAATTTGATATTTGAAAAATATACATTAAAATGAATCTAATAGTAAGTTACACACCTGACTATATTCAATTTTGTCTATAAAGCATAAACATTGGTCAAAATAGTGTATATAAATTGTGCAAAAGTTAGAATGAATTCCTTTTCAAAAAACCAAGGGAATATCAAACTAGTGAAATGTTTATAAAAAAACTATCAAACACTAAATTTGTTAACAATGATTGATTATTAGTTGATATCTCTGGTGGATCTCAAGCCCAATAAGTAACAAAAATCTAACTACCAACCCTCCTTGTGTCCTGTTGAGCGTTGGCATCAATCATTTGGTTGCACGAGGACAAGGGTTTAAGGGTTCAAGGGTTGGTAAATAAGGGAAGGGATGCAAAGAAAGTAACACAAATTTAACTATACTTTGTATCTACTAATTCAAATGAATTTGGCCAGGTAGTTTTTCTTTTTTTATGAATAGATTTGGCGAGGTAATTGATGATGAATTGATGACATTTAATGGGATGTTATTATTCACTCACTTATTTAGATATTATCTTTACCGGTCTAAATTTTATGGCCACTTTTGATGAGAATACAAAACCTTTAATATTGAAACTCATATTGAAATCCTAAGGTAGAATTCAGTGTTAAACTCTTAAAAGAAGACTCCCTTAACCTTAGTGTATTTTTAAGAAATAAAATTAGTTGGCATCTACATTTCTTCGTTATATACTTATATTGTTCATTGCACCTTTTTAATATGGTTTCAATTATGATTTGTCCAATATATAAATGGTTGCAATGAGTAGATGAGACAAGAAAACTATATCCATATTACTATAGTCACCCATTAATCGCTAATGGTAAATACGATTCTGATTCCAAATCAATGAGTTACTTTAGTACCATAGCGTCGAATACTCGAACTTAGACTAATACAGTAATACTTAAACTTGTTCCAATTGGGAAGGATCGTATATTTGCATTACAAAATATTTCTCTCCTTATCCACTTATCATTATCAACATCATCGTAACATATGTCACGCCTAAAAATGTATTCTTTGTATTAATAATATGTTTTTTTTTTAATTGATATAGTTAAATAATGATCTTAAATATTGCGCTAAAGCCGCTAATTAACTAAACTATCCAACATATGAACATACCACATACACGAATTTGACCCCAAAATTACCCGACGGGCACGTCACGAATAGATTATGGACCAACAAAGAAAAACTTGAACGTTGAATGTTAAAAGTTGAAACAAACATTCTCACAACTTGAGCAATTGAGTGTGAAACACACTGTAGGAAGACTGAACAGAATAGCTAAATAAACCCATGTCCACAAATTCAAAGAAGAAGAAAAACCGAAATTTATGCACTTCAATGATCTTGGCTAACGCCTAAATTGGGTAATGGCAAGGTCTAGTAATTGTTGCATGTTCCCAAAACGCGTCATTTTGATCTGGGTTTTCTGTATTTTCCTCTTCTTTTGTGCATTCAAGATGATCCTCAAGAATCCCTCACTTCATACTTCTACATCATCATTATCTTCTTCTTCTTCAGGTATAATCTTTATCATTATTGATAATTTTATGTATAATATTAATGTATGATTATGTGTCAATTTTTTTGATCTGGGGTAGTTTGATTTTGTGATCATCGGCGTTATATATGGAATTGGGAAGATGGGTGTGAGTTTATGGTGATTTTGATTTCTGGGTTTTGCATTTCTTTTGGTGGTATGCAATTGATGATAGTGAGTGGTTATGTTTTGGAAATTTGTGAGATTGTTATGTGAAATTCGATTCATAGGTGATGCTATTATGATTTATGAACTGGGTTTCTGTAATCATGGTGCTAAGGTTGCATTTAACTCAAACTTTTGCCGAGACGGTGAGGCGTGGATGTAACCTTGTTGAATTGCAAGAGTACAATAAACTAGGAAAAAGATTGTTAGTTATATGTAATCATGGTGCTAAGGTTGCATTTAACTCAAACTTTTCTATAATGAGTTGTACTACCTCCGATTTTTATTGGTTGCAACTTTGGGGTAGTATTTGTGAGATATTATTTCCAAAGTTACAACTAAAAAAATCGGAGTTAGTAATTGTAATTAGGAAAAAGATTGTTACTTATTAATTAGGAAAGAAATCCAGGTGAACTACCTAGAAATGATGACTTTGAGACAATTATAATGAGATCAAAGAGTACAATAGAACTACACTCATGGAAATAAGTTAGGTAGTTGGATTTTCGTGTTTTCATGAACCTTGCAGGACAGAAAATGGGCAGCCTATAAAGGCTGATGAATTGGTGTGTGATGGTGTTCCTATTTGAACTAACAACCATGTGTAGAGTTTCGGGTACTTGGAGGAGATTCAAGAATTAGTAATTATGTTGCACAATCACAAGGTTATATCATATTTGAGATACACAATGTAATATATCAGTTATATTTGGTATGCTTAATAGAAGAGAAAGTATATGGGTGAACCTTTTTATTTAACACTTCTTTTAAATTAATTCCAAAATTTGTACGGTTTTATATTGCATTTGAGGTGGAAAATTTGGATCCGAAAATGAATGTCATGCCGGTGTCTTTTGAAGCCACGAGCCTAATGGATTGTCTCAATTTACTTAATTTGCCACCTCTATCTTTGAAATCTGCTGAGGTGGCTTTGTTCTCTTCTCCTTTGCTGCTATAAGGTTTTTAGTCAAAAAGTTATAAAAATATGGTCTAGTTTTGTCCGGTCTGAAATTTTGTCTAATCTAAATTTTTTTGTCTGATTTGAATCTTGGGTGATTAGTTTAAGGTAAAGCATCTGGTCTGGTCTGTTTTTATCTTCCACACAAGTTCCCGAATTAAGGCGAAGGGAAGTATGCTGTGAGTTACAGCCATCTTTTAGTATACTACAGCAATCTCATCATTTTAGCTCCACTACATAAATTTCCGCTTTTCCCAAAGTTTCCTTCATCTTATAGTTCGTGATGGTATTCATGCCCCAATTGCCCATCTATTCACTGTCTCTCCGTGCTTCTTTAAGGATGCATGTTTTGTACTTGATAAATTCTAGAAATATAATGTTGACTGACTAGATACCATGCGGGGAGTTTTTACAGCTGTAGTGTTTATGACTTGGAGCTTAAGCTAAACATAAGAACCTAGTTACCATAAACTAGATATAAATTAGGTAGCAAAATTATGATAAGGAATCAAACACATGCTATCTAGATACACCCCAAAACTACCAAAGTTTTATCCACAATAGTAGTCCTTTCTCCTTTGAATCCTTAGAGTAAGGAGCGTTTCTCCTTTGTCATTCTTCCAAGCTCCAACTGTACTCGAAGGATTGATAAGTACTCGGTTGGAACTGTGATGAGACTAGGAGTGGACTAATTTGAACAAGGAGTTGAAGTGGAGCATCAATGCTGTCCTACTAGCATAAATTAGCTGAAGCTGTCCATAGGGACGACATTGATCTAGCTTGTCTCTCCAATTCCCAACTTTTCTTCACTTGGTAATTGGTATAGCTTTGGGGGTTGGGTGAACTGTTTTAGTCACCTTATTGTGTGAGTTCCAATCCCAATTTTATTACGTTAGTCATGTTACAAGGTTGTAAGATGTGCCCATATCCACAAAGGCACGGGCCATACCGCCATAAGTACACAAACATAAATTTTTAGTGCTCATCATTATCTTCACCAGGTCAACTTCTCATTCTAATTTTCAAATTGTGTGTGCACAACTAATCCTCTCTTAGACAAACATTATGACCATAAGAGCATGCTAATGGAATTTTGTTTACACTTTTAAGGACTATAGAGCTGTTTTAATTACTTTCTCATTCATCAATACATACAACTTTGTAGCTTTTTGCACTATACATCTATCTACTAATCTTGACCACATTTTATTATGGATATGTAAAAATAAGTGTCAATAATTTGATTGTTGGTTTAAACTTAATGTATATTTTCAAAATAACACTTTATTCTAAAAAAATTCTTAATACTCCATAGGTGTGTGTGTGTTTTTTTTTATACACTTTTCTAAAGCAAGCGTTTTTTGTAAGTGACACTATCGAAAATTGGAAAATTTCTACTTATATTTTTAATTATATTTCTCTCCTCTTCGGTCTCTACATGTTTAATTTTTTCTCTCTCCTCGTGATCCCTACTACGTTCTTTATCATTGTTTCCCCTAATATCTTTTAGTTTTGAATAAGCTTTTTATCCACTATCGTTTTCTCACAATATCTAACTCTCCAACAATAATCATATACATAATATGATAACCAACCTACATAAAGCTCCTATACATATGTTTATGGATCAGAGATGAAAATCCATAGTTCAAAGTCAACAGATATTTCTAGATGTGATGCTTTTATAGGGTCATAGGGATTTTGGGAATGAAGGAGTCCAATCATGGATGGGACATTTGCTATGTATGATTATTTTGAGAGTGGTACCAACACTGATTCTTGTTTATAGGTGTTCCAATTTCAAACATGGAGAAGAGAGCGAGATTATATGAGAAAATGGCAAGGAATTTGGATGAAAATGGGCCAGCTTTCCTTAAAAATGGAGAAACTTCCCAGTCATTGTCAATTTCTGATTTGTTTAGCGTAAAAGATGGTGCTGTAATACCTAATCCCAAGGTGAAATATTTAGGATGTTCTGCCGTTCTTATTAATAGGAAAGGATCTTGAGCTCTTCCTTTCTTGGCATGCATGCCATTGACTTGATGCTGTTTGCAGGCAGCTAATCCTCCTGTACGAGCAAACGTTTTGTATTTGAGTACTGATTATTCAATTCCCATATCGTAAGTTAATTTCATTGTGCAGTGTTTTCTTTCTCTTTTCAAACTGTGATGTTCATATTATTTATTCCGGCGTTACCTTTTGCAGAAATGCTGTAAAACTGGTGTTTTCACCTTACTTTGACAAAGGTAACAATTCTGTCATTTGCTGTATTTGACATCTGTTTGTTTGAAACTTTAACAAATCATATCTACTGTCATTGAGTAGTTCAATTATTGAGTAGAACTTAGGCAGCTTTTATTCTGTAAACATAAATTGCCCTTTTCTAATGAATTTCTTAATGTTCATATTGTTTGGTAACTTTGGTTCATACAGGCTTGAACATTCAACCTTTTGCTTTTTTGTCTTACGATGTATACATGACGTAGAGTAGTCTGACTCTTTCTTGTTTGTTTCTATATATTGTTCCATGTTCCTCATTTATGCTTTGAATAGCAATCTGGTTTCAGAATTCAAGCTTGTACCACTTTAGTATGTTCCACGCGTCGCATCATATTCAACCTGTTCCTGCTACTCATGATGAAGTAAGGCTTTATTAATCATTTTTTAAATTCTGTTTATTCTCTGCAGTTGTAACTTGTAGCTTTTCTTGGCAAGTAACATTGTATCTATACATTAGGTTGAAGCCGAAGCAAAGGCAGTTAAAAATGTTGCTGAATCGCTTTGCCCATTGAAAATCGTTCTAGATCGGGTGGTTTTGACTTCAAATGGTGTTCTTCTCGGGTGTTGGCAGGTGCCGTTAATAACTCTTCCGACTTTCTGGAAATACATGGATAATATATGAAATTTGTGCTTCCCTTTATGGTGCTTGTTTAGTGAAGTTTTTGTTGAACCACTTTTTTTCTCAATTTATGGAACTTTGATGCGGAACTAGCAGAAGTTTCTAAATCTTGAAGGGTTGGAAGTGTTTCATTTTAGTTTCAAACACACGCGTTGTAGACCACAAAGCTTGCTAAAAACTTGAGAAACTTTTTGTCCATGAATGGGAAACAATGTCATGAAATTTACTTTTGTGATGAGTAGTGGTTGTTTTTGCTTGAGTAAATGCTTTCATAGTTCTTTTGTAATGAACTGTCTTAAGGGAAGGGTATTATGGGTTGTTTAGTTTGTTAATAGTGATCAAATGTAGTACATGAGAAGGGTAAATAGGCAATGCAGTAAGAGATGCCACCTGTGCACATGAGACGAAAGAAATTAGTCTAGAATCATCCTAGGGAGAGGGAGAATGTAATTATAAAAAGGGAAGAGGGATAATGAGAAAGTTGGCAGAAATTTGTATTGAGGGAAACCTTAGAGAATCATCGCCTAAAGCCATTGTTGGAGAGTTGTGAGCTAAACTCACTATTGGAGATTAATGGCCTTAAGCTATTAACCTATCTTTTGTAATCCTTTCATCATTATCAATCAATCTTAAAGCTTTCATCTTTATTGTTGCATTATTAAATCAGAATATTAAGCCAGAAAATTCGTTCATTACATCTCTTACCATCCAACAGCAATTGTCTGCTGGCAATAGAAATTCAGTACCATGATATTAAACCTAGAATAAGTGTCATGCGATTAGTGCTTCTCTTAATGTTTTGTAAGCCAAAATATGTTATTGCTGTTATCTTCTGTTATTCAGCTGAATTCTGTGCATGGGCTGCAATTTCCGAGATTGTTCCTTAAATTAAATATATATGAGTCTTTTGGGAAATGACTAATAAGCGATTTGACAGTTCAGATGATGTTGGAATTGCTTAATTGTCTTAGGACACTCTGATTATAATTGTGACCATATACACAATTAAGACCTTGAATCCCTTTGCGCTTTGCCTGTTTCTCGCTCTAGTCTTACTAGTTACTACTAATAAGCTTAGTGATTCTAGCAAACTAAAAACAATTTTAAGAGAAAAGATGATAGATCCGTGGCATTGTGGACCAGCCTCCAATGTATGTAGTCTTTTGATAAATCTTATTCTTAACATCAATAACTCTTTTTTGTATAGGTAACTTCTGGTACTGATCCCACTACTGTACGCGCTAAGCTGAGGACAGCCCTTCCACGTGCACCGGAAAAGCAGCTTGTAAGAGAATTCCAAAACGTTGCATATTTACATATACAGGCAATACAACTATGATAATATTTTCAAATTTTAGGTCTTATTTTTGGCCTTGGATGTATGAAGATGTTTCTAAGCCCCCACAGATTGGCTTTTGGTTCATGAAATTTTCCATTTAAATATGAAAATCCACACAGGCCAATATTTTGCAAGTTTAAAGTACATACTATGGTGTCCATCAGTTCATGGTATGCTAACTGAAAAAAAAAAGCTGATAGTGAGGAATAATAGCATCATATATTCATGTGGTCGTCTCCTGTGAACGCCACACGGATGCATGATAATATGAATATGCAATGAACTCTATGGCTCTATCAATAACTCTACCTCTCTTATATGGTTACCTTCAATAGTTATCCAATTATGGCTTGATGTTGTTATTCCGGTCATTTTCCATCTTCTTGTTCAATTTTGTCATTTATATGATGGAACTCCAAGTGCTTGCTTCACAATTCATCAACTAAGCATGCATCTTGTCTAACTTGCTGCAGTATGATGATGCTATACTTCATACTTCATTTGCAAGGCTATTGGGTCCTCCAAGAATTCTAGACAAGGTTAGTAACTTAGTATCAAGTGTTGCATGCTCACTTTCTTATTATGGCGATTTTTTTTTTCCAATTTAATTTGCTTTACTTTCTGTGAGAATGTGCTTCTTCCATCCTGTTTAGCCTGAGTTTGGGGTTTGTTGCTGAAGCTGGTACTTTTCAAGGTCGAGGTGAAAGGAATGAAGGGGTGGGTAGGATGGAAATGTGAGTCTCTTGAACTGTTGTGTTTAATGTGTGTGCATGATGAGATCACCCCTTCTTTTCCCCTAATACTTTCCACCAATTTCAGGATTATAGATCCTTATTTGGTACCTGCTGTGCACCCACCCACAAGCTAAGGAGAGTAACCGTTGTATTCAAGTTACTTGGGTCAACCTTTTGAACTGGGTTTATTAGTGGGTAGCCAATTAAGGGAAAATCTATGTATTCTGCTTCTAGCCTTCTAGTACATTAGTAGCCTGTAGTTTTGAGTTCCAATTGGTTCTAAAATGTAAAAGCAAAATGTGGGTTACAGTGGTCCTCTAGGTTTCCAACATAGCATGCAGACACTTTTTTGAATGAGCAACTGCTGTGGAAAATGCTGAAGAAAAATTACTTAACAATATTTTTTTTTCTTTTTGTTTTTGGTGATGGGATTAGATTGATTAAACTAGATCTAAATGCACATGAAGCTTACTTCACATTTCGAAAAAAAAATACACAAGAACTCATATTATATTAGCATTGAATATATTGAAGAATACATATGTATAATAGGTGGACACCAAACACCTCGAGAGTTGGCCTATATAATAGAGATATTATTCCACATGATAAGTGATACTCCATATCTTCTAACTTGCTAAGGAAGATTTATGAGCAAATATTAAAGTATCTTAATTCTATATTTCTAATCTAGATCATTTTGTAACAATTGTCACTTTCTAAAATGGCGAGGAGCCCAATGACATGGGTTAGGAATCCTTTTTAAGCTTAATCAACCTAATCCATTTGCAGAACCTATATGTATTTCTTTACACTTAACCGAAATTTTGATGTGACTATTATAGCGGCCAGATTACAATACTACAATGTGGTCCCTGATTCTTTAAAATTGAGCTCCATGCGATTCTGTGATAATCTTGGTATTCTGAGCTTACTAGTGGTGTTAGCTATCTGAAGTTGACACACGAGGGATGCCTATACTGTCTAACTAACTTACTTCTGGAGTTACATAATCTGTTTTTTCCTTCATGCTTGATAAAGTTAAATATTCAAGTTCTTAAATCTAAGAAGCACAAGCACTCCTATCATAGATCCAAGAAAAAAATACTCAAGCGCAGAATCAGTTCTTATAAATGCAGGCCTTAGTTTCCTGAGAAAAGCGAGTCATGATATGAATTCAGTCTGTGGTGAGGAGTTCATCCTCATTAAAAAAAAATTGGTTAGCAAGCTTGCATAGGATGCAAACAGGGGAAACAGCCACCCTTTAATAGTTTAATGCATCAGGTATAGGGGACAGGGACATTAGTAGTTGTCATTATACTTCAGCCATGCTTTGTTTGGATATAGTAAATAAGGAAAGTCAGGAGAGGGAAAGAAGGGGGAAGGGGGAGGGAAGGTAAAGTTGAGTGCAATTTTCCTTCCAAATCTCTCCAATTTTGGATGGATACTGCTTATTAAAGAGAAAGGGAAAATGGATCCCTCCCTTTCCTTCCCCTTCCTTCTCCCTATCCTTTACCCAAGTAAGAGAAATTGCGCACCTCCCTTTCTCTTCCCTTCTTTTCTTTCTATCCAAACAAAGTGTTAGAGCTAGCTTGAGCAAAGCAAATGGAAACCAGCTAGAGGAAGGATTCAGTTAGTGGAAAATTGCTGAGTTCTCCTTACTTCTGTTTAGTTTCAGTTTGTATTTGGGAGAGAATCAAGCTTCTACAAACCTTGAATATTCTCTTAATATGTATTTTCTGTAATTTTCAGCCTTAATTGCACATGTTTATCTTCCTTTTCAATTTTTCTGCTCAAATTGCAGTTCATAAACACCCATATATGTTTATGGCACAATGTACTGATAGATTCTCATGATTTTACATATTCATATTGGTCTTTCTGTGCATTTATTCCTTCATTTAATATTCCTTTTCTTGCCTTTTCTGAGTATTGTTTAAATGTCATGTGCAGGAGGCAGGTAAAACTTCAGACAACATTCAATTGGTTCATAGGCTGGTGGCTCACCTCAACAATCAAATTAGTGGGTTTCAGGTAAGTGATTGTACGTCTTATTGTTCGGAATTTCTATGCATCTCTGTAGATCTGTAGCTAGTCTGTTAAAATTCAAAACCGAAGGCAAAATTCACTAGAACTCACTTCAATCCAGAATGATATTGACCAATAACATAAGCGAGGGTAGTAATCATCTACGACTGAAAGTTGACTTGGTCAGCCAGAGATCTGAATTTTGTTTAGTGCCACAGGATTGTCTTTGTAAGGTGCTTCCCACAAAAAATGATATTCTGTTATGAAAACCTTTCGAAACCTATCAGGCGGGACATTTGATTTTTCAATGAGATCGGTTTTAAAAGTTCTAAGAATCAGATTTGTTGTGGAAGCAATTTGAACTCAGTTTACCTGAAGTTACAAGGCCTTCGTATAAATTTCAAAATTTATCAAATTGACCTAGCATCACATAATACTTTTGTGCTTGATTGTTCATGCTTTGTACGCTTCAATTGAGAAATTCAATTTAAGCATTTTTTTTTTGTCGAAAAATGGGGCTTGGTCAAATTTTTTGATAGAAAAATATTATATTAGACTAAGAAATGTATCCAAATTATTTCAAATTAGTTATGGAACAGGAATGTCCTAACCCCCTGCGTACTATCGTCCTTTTCTAGGTTTGAAGTGTGAATATTTGTATATAAACTAACTCTATTTAGCTTCGTGAAGAAACTTGTGTGGTGTCAATAGACAAATATTAATCCCGTTGTTTTCATCTGACAATCTGACATACATCAAATTTCGACCTGCTATCTATTTTCTTTTACTTGTGAATCATTGTAGGCTGTCGTTTCTGAACTGTGGTATGTAGAGGAACTCGATGTGCTTGCTCTTGGATTGGATGGAAGAATGAAGGTTCGACGATTTCATCTCGGCTGCTCTAACACCTGAGAGTATCGAATTTAAACACAGCCATATGACTAGTGATTACCAATTTTTTCTTGGGCAATATCTGGGAAGCCCTCTTCAGAAGATACTGCAGGTTGTTAATAGATACTACGGGATATACATAGCATATTGAGTGGCATTTGGAATTGATCAGATCCTACTGTATATTTGTAAAACCCGTGAAGTCCCTGATTGATACAGAGCTATTCTGTGAGTTCGACTTTCTATCCCATAAATCCTCTAATGGTAGTAGTACACTTGTACTGTATAGGTCTGTGTCATTTTGTCATACTGATGCTCGAGAACAGAAATGAGCGTTCTTTCCTGCTGTTTTAGGAGCGTAATTTTGTTGCTAGTGAACACGAATGTACAAAAGGACATGAGTTTTAGAAATGAATGCTGATTTGAACATTCGAAACACATCAATATTGTATTAGCTTTATAATATAATTCTCAGCATTTTATGGTGTATTTGGTACGTCAAAATCATAGTGCCCATCTCATGGCATGCTAAGAAAGTAGCTGGACTATACATTCTTTTGTGGATCTCATTATGTTTTTGGTTTCTGCAAATGTAAGCCTTGTATCCAATTGTATCATTAGCTTTAGAAGGCCTGAATCCAATAATTGCTGGCTTGGATGCTTGAAAATACAAAGTGTAAATTTGGAAATGTGAGTCTTAACTTTTAACCTTGGCGTAGGATGTATACCCTGATTCCTCGATCTCAAATTTACTAATTGCTCCTTTGTTTTATGATTTTATCTCCAATTTCAATAACGTTCGAGTTCAAACTCCCTTTATTTCATCTAATTTCACGTAACAATCATCGATATTACATATCTAATCATCAATTGTAGCAATTATATAAATTTTTGATGTTATGAAAATATAAAATGAAAGCAATCTAACTAGGGTTCACGTAACTATTTTTCATCGAGTATTAGAGGAAGTCAAAGTACCACCCTTTTTTTTTTTTTATGTAGCAATTTTCACCTAAGTTTGATGGAACAAAAAAGAAAGTTGAAGAAATCACAATGGATGATCTCATCTCTTAATCAACCCTCCACCTGCTAAACTAAACTACTGCTACTCTGTACCTGTCACATAAATGATAATTCTAGTATATGCTTCTCTATGACAAACTCATCCCACGTCATCCTCGAAGTTGATGTTGCCACGTATATAAACCTATGTAAGTACTCCTTGTCTGAGAGAAGATTTGGATTGAAAAGAAAGATTATGACTTTCTCATCCTTAGTATTTGGCCTTTAAAATAAAACAATTGCTAAATTTCCTAAACAGAAATATCATAATAATTGCATTATTAAAGTAATTCTTACATTTATCATAGTGCATATAAAGGTAGATGCATTCAAGAATATATTATGTTCATTTGTTGATTACAAAATAAAGTACAATAAATACAATATCAAATTAGCTGAAATATTCAATTAAAATGTGTATAAACTCTAAATGCACCTAGATGCAATATTGCAATTTTCATGTACAATTTCTTACAACCAAGCAAAGCTTGGTCGAATTGGTGGAGAACTCATCTTATGACTTTGAGATCACAAGTTCGAGTCACATTAACCTTGAACAGAACTGAGCTGAAATAAATAGAGTTGGATTGAACTGAACTGATTGAAGCTGAGTTGAAATGAAATTAACTGAAATTAATATTAAGCTGAAGTGAACATACTCTAACTACAAAATGCTTAGGAGTAAGGGGATTCTCTTACCTCCCTTTTCTACTCTGAAGCGTTAACTAAACCTAAAAGAGATGTTGATTCACTAATCAATGAAACTAAAGAAAATAGGACAACATATTAATTCCGTTTGACCTCTCTCTCACACTCTTCCTTCTCTCTTTTCTGTGTTTAGTCTATTTCCTATAAAATAATTTGAATACCAAACAAGCTTATGCCACACAATCAATCACCTACTTTACCATTATTTTCATTTCCTTTTTTATACTTCTAGAAAAATAATGTCATTTTCACCTTTCATTTAGTTTTCTTTCTTTTTCTTCCCTCAAAGTCTGTGCATTTCTCTCTCAACTGAAGCCCCCTATCAAGAAATCCTTTACTCTAATCCTAAATTTGCTAGATTTGTAATTTTCTCCGAATAAATTTTTAGCCAAGAAATATGGGAGGAAGTGGGGGTGTTGCTTTTCTCAAAGTTGTGCTTCAGAACTTCGATATTCTTGCTGGGTTTGTCCCTCTTTTTCTTTCCTCCTTTTTTTTTTCCTGTTAAAATTACCATCAAATGCTTGGAATTTGCTATTTTCTGCACTAATTTTTACATTTTACGGCAATTTGATTACTCATTGATTGTAAGATTTAAATTCTAGGCTATTATTATTGCTTGATTTCATTTAATTTGTTCACTTGTGTGAATTTTGAGTGAAGAGCATATAATTGATTTAAATTGTATAAATTTTTAGCAGCATAATTGTTGGTTTTGTTGAAAGAATCCACCTTAACCTCAATATTTTGCTCACATCATGGGTTTTCTGATTCTCTGTTGTAATTTTTATGGATTTTGATATTTTTGTGTGATTTGGGAGTGTCAAGCTTATAATTGATCTTAATTTTAAAAAAAATTTGGCAACCCAATTGCGCCTTTTTTTGGTTAAAACATTACATATTTTCCTCAATTTCTTGTTCAGATTTTTGGGTTTCTGTTTCATTGTTAATCAACTTCACAAGTTCACACTCGATTATGTCACGCATTCCAAAAATGATACATTGTATAATTTTAGTAAATTTTAATGCTTATATGTATAGCAAAACCCTTTTTGATATGAATGTAATTTTTTTTTTTTTAATTAATTTTATTGGATGTGATTGTATTTTTATCTAAAATAAGGTTTGTTTGTGTTGTTGCAGGCCTGTGGTTAGTCTTGTTTATCCCTTGTAAGTATTTTTGCTTTACTCTTCATTAAGTTATGCTGATTTTGGCTTGGGCGATAGATTTTGAGTGTTTATTTTGATTGCGAATTCTAATAAAATGATGGAAATGGGATTCTTTTCATATAAAGGTTTCTGATCTTTTAGTCTATCCTGAGGGTTAGGCATTCTGATGGGAAAGATTGTTAGCAATGCAACAATAATTCTGATAATGGATTTTGACTATTCATTTTGCCTGGAAAAAAATTATCGGTGTGTGGTACTCCATAGGCTGTACTCAGATATGAGAACTACAGTATGACAATTTAATTCAGACCTAGAATTGCTGATGATTTGAGGCTGATTTGCCATATATGTGTTGAGATGGGTACATAAGTCCTTGTAATTTTAGTGCGAGTCAAAATAGTAGTAGGTTAGTTTAGCTAATTTCTATTCCGTGTGTTTTATTTGTCTATCTACAAAGTAGGAGTCCAAAGTTCTAGTCAGTTATTAACAACTTTAGTTGGTTTACATGGATTTAAGATATAAATTATGATTTTCTGTTAGGTATGCATCAATCAAAGCTATTGAAACCAAGTCTCCTATTGATGATCAGCAATGGCTCACTTATTGGATTCTGTATTCCATGATCACTCTTTTTGAGCTCACCTTTGCAAAGGTTATTGAATGGTAAGTTTCCTTAGCTTTGATCTCTTTGTTTTCAGCTGATATTTTTTGGTTTATTTCGATGCCATACTACGATAAATATCATCTATAGTGGATTAAAGCAAGCTGTCTTGGTAATCAACTAAGTCTTTGCTCTTTGGTGCTATGTTATCTGGATGTCAGTATCCTGCCCATGGAATGTCAGTTACTGCTAATCGGAGCATGTCTTCTCATATTCACTGTAATTCTAGCATACCCTGAACTGATTTTCTTTGTTAATATCACTCTTCTCAAGTCAAGACCTTTTATGTTCCGTGAAAAGTATGGTCTAAAACATCATTACACTACCTCTATGCTTCTAACTAAGCACAACTATTATTAGAGGTAGGGATTCAGATGTACATTGTCTTTCAACTACAATAATAGAGAGGCTATTTTCGGTTGACCATTAGTTTGATAGACGGCAGCTGTTTGCAACTTCTCAGAGGATAAGAAGTGCTGATCATCTATTTCTTCCTTACCCTGCCTTCTGTTGGAGTATCAGTTGAGAGGCATTAGGGTAATCTTGATGTTGATGAGGAACTTTGTTAGTATTTTAAAATGCAAAGGAGTACTATTTGCTGCTGACTTGAGTCTTGAGTTTGATATGAGTAGGTCAAACTTGGCAGGATTTGCTTTTTCGAATTATGTGTATATGGATTTGGGAATAAGTTTTTGTTTTCTGAGTTATCTGTAGCATATTTTGGACTGTCAGGTAGCCCATCCACAATCTAAAATTGTTTGGGATTGAGTGGACTGAAAAAAGGTTGGCAAAGGAAATGGTAAATCTTGGAGGCATATTGAGAATCATACAAGTCTTGGAATATCAACCAATACATGGTCTGGTTGTCTAAATCTCACGTTGCTCCTGTAGATACCCAGCTTGCCTCATTTTGTGAAAGCTCACATTCTTATTTTGCCATTATCTTGCTCTCTTTGGACTACTTTTTTTACTCTCTATCTCTTTAGTCTTTTATATTTCTGAAGACATTCGGAACTTCAGTAGGTGCAGCTGCTTTAACTGCCCATCTACCCCCCATACTGATGCTCTATATTGTTTCAACGAATAACATAGTAAAATATGTTGTCAAAACTACCTACTCAGAAATTTATCTTGATTAGATACCATGTACATTTTTATTTTGGTTGAAAAACATTCCTGTACCCTAGCAGCTTATTAGCTTATGACATTGGATTACCTAAATAGCTTATGAGAGGCTTGCTACTCTTAATCTACCTGATCAAATTGCTTATATTTAGGACTAAATTCAATGAGAATCAGACAATGGCCAGACGCCCAGACCACACACCTTATCCTGTCTCTTTGAGCAATCAGAACTCACAGGATTCACGAGATGAATGGATTATATCATGATATCCTGATAATATTTCTTGATTGGGAGTTCTTGATGAAAATATTGCATTCGTATCTACAGGATCCCTATTTGGTCATATGCCAAGTTGATTATGACTTGCTGGCTGGTGATACCTTACTTTAATGGAGCTGCATATGTTTATGAGCATTTTGTAAGACCAACATTTGTCAATGCCCAGAATCGTACTGTCAACATCTGGTATGTCCCAAGGAAGAAGGATGTTTTTAATAAGAAGGATGATATTATAACAGCAGCAGAAAAGTACATACAGGAGAATGGAACAGATGCTTTTCGAGATCTAATTGACAAGGTAAATTCACCATGAAAGAAGTATAATCATCTACTTTTAGATGTTTTACTATCTGCAGTACAATTTTATTACTAGTTGGATAGATTGCTTATTACGGCGCTACTTGTGAAATCTAGCACAAAATAGTATCAAACTATCAATTAACTTGTCTTGAGAAGCTCGGTTTCCATTAAGTTACATGGCTTGAGGAATTGAATTGACCTTCTGTGACTGACTTATATATGTTCTGTTTATTGTTTTTGGTAGGCTGATCACAAAAGTACGAAACCAAACACTGATTATGGCATTTTTGAGAATGAACACTACTACTGAGTGCTGCAGTCTGCTGATTTTCCAATAATGTAAACTTTTTTCAACCACAGTTTAGTTTGTGCCATGTGTTACCTTTTTAAGCCGTTTGCCACCTCTGTAATTAGCTTGGTGTCTTTTATTGTGTAATTATGATGGCATTTCATCCTTTTTAGTGATTAATGGTAGTTAATTACTGTACAATACATCCTTGTGTGTCTTAATTTGTCTGGAAATACTCCAGCAGCCTAACAGAGAAAAGAAGAGGGAAAGGGGTGCCTTCTATTTTGTACCTTGTTGCTTATGCATTCTAACACTTTTGCAGCTAAGATGGACTGGTATTGTCTATACTTTCCAAGAATTCGTCGTCATTGTGACCTTTCACTCTCATTTCTGTCTATACTTTCTTGTGGTACTCCGTCATGCAGATTCAAAGTGGTTGCTAAGGTTATGGCCTAATGTTATTTTGGACACGAAGTGTCAATTAAATTGAGTTTTCAGTTCTCGACTTCTCATAAAATCTCTTGTGAACTTGTCAATTCACGGGACTGAGAGATTGTTGCTCATAATGTAAGCAGTTTATCAATTTTTTTTACTAAAATACACAAAATTTCCTACAAAATAAATTTTGATTCCACAAGCTATAAGTTTATTACAAACAATTTCATACAACTGAAGTTAATATCAGACTTTCGTCAAAGGGGAAAAAAAAAAAGGTTAATATCAGACAACTTCAGATTATTTCAGAAAATTTCAGACAAATAAGTTTTAAAATTTCAGATAAATTCCAGACAGAATCAGATAGCTGGCCTAAAATTTGAGTAATTTATTGCCTATTTTCATAATATCAAAATTTTATACTCCGTAATAAGTTTTACTAATAGACAATTAAAAATAATTTTGGTCAAGGTTAAACTAGTACAAGAGCTTTTTGACGGGAAACTAAAGTTCAAGTTTCCCTAATAAATTACATAGTTATAATAAAGGATAGATATATCTGGACATGTCTTCAGAACTCTTGCGCCATTTGAATAACCGAGTTATCTTTGTTAATGTTCCACCACCTACAGCACATCAGTCTGCACTCTAATTGTCATCCTTGAGATCAGCTACACAAGAATCATGGGATGCTGACAGAAGTTGCTGAGCTTCAGAAAACGCAGATTCGTTCTCATCGGCAGAGTACAGTATTTTCTTAATCGCAACAGCCAACTGCAACAGGTGACAACAACAGGAGAAACGTTACAGTTAGCCAATCCGAAAGCAATCTAAAGCATAGATAATTTACATAGAGAGTTCATCAATTTTTAAGGGTGGACAAACTTCTCAAACTTCTTTCTCCCAAGAGTCCCAACACTTTAAACAGCCCTAATAAATAAGCTAGAAATCACTTTAAGATTTGTCAACAAACCACATTTAAAGATCATTTATCACTACTTTTTAATATAACACCCCCAATCTTTTGGACCTAAACTATACGAGAATTTGGCTCAGGAACCTCAATTTCAGACATCTTTTAGTAAAGGTTTAACCATCAGTCAGATTTTGATATGGTTCTAGGAATATATTCCAGGAACATTGATCGACAAAAGACTTAAGAAGGAAAAAAAATTGAAAGCTGGTAACGCTGTAATGTTGGAGAATAACAAGGCTCAATTACTTCATTAATCACTCAACTAAGTCCTAAAACTCGCAATAAATCAAGCAAATTGCTTCATCCCAGATCAGTTCACAAAGAAATTCCGTGCTAGCCATCACTATCTTATTCCATATAAAAGGTCTGAGCCAATAAAATCCTGGAATTTCATCATGAGATAGTTGAGACTGGGACGATCCAAGATTCCAAGGGGAAGGGGAAATCTCATAGCTACTAGTGGAGTCGAAATTCTTCCAATCCTCGTTAATTGTGACAGAAACATTAAGCAAAGCCTGATACGAGTACTACATCTGCACCCTACTAAGCCCCTTCCTTAAAACTGGCTTAACTTTCTGATCACTGTGTTGAAATTGGAACTTGGAAGCACATACCATTTGACAATATACAAAATAAACAATCAGTCTGAATGACCATGAGAAAAGTTTGTATTTTTAGCAAATTCTCACCGGCAGAGTATCCACTTCAGAAGCCTGACAAAGCATTTCAATATCCCTCAATTTTCCAAAGTAGAAGTCTCGTTCTTTTTCCAACAGGTCCGCTGAAAGCTTTAGATCAGTAACCTGTGTGAAGAAGTTGATTTTAGCAAAGAAGCCGGGATGTGGCTATATTTAAAGATAGTGACCATTTTTACTCAAATTACAACTACATTGAATACAACTACATCGAAATGAGAAATCAAAAGCATAAAAAGGCCTTCAAGCATGATTGGGAGAAGAGCCCCACACTATTACTTAAGTGACCATTTTTACTCAAATTACAGCAACCAAGCATGCAAACACAGGCATGAGTGGGAGAAGAGCCCCACACTATTACTTTAGTGGCTTTCTCATTAGTATGTTAACCAAAGTATACGTGTGACACTGAACCAATTGTTTTAAATCATCTAAATCACACAGTTAACAAGCAGCTAAATAGAACTATCATACAATACACCAGAATCAGCATTATTACAACAGAAAAAGAACTTCCAATTCTATAGAAAGCATTAAATTAAGGAACCTGAGAAAGAGGGGCAAATGAAATGAAAGAAGCAAAGTGCTGTTGCAGTTAAAGAGAAAACTTATACCTCCTGAGTCAAATTCTGAACTTCTTCTGAATAGTCAACCTCACCAGGAGGGGAGGGAGCCTTCCCTTGTTTGAGGCCTATAAGAAAGGACATAGGTAAAACATGCAAGGGATTCAACATGCTGAGTACTCGTAACTATAAGAACAGGAAGAAAGATTTGGTGGTACAAAAAAAAAAGCAAGGTATAGGCTGACCAGCAGTTTTTCTAGGACCAACTCTATCACCAGATCCAGAATTAGGCAAATTGTTTCCCTGCAAAGACTTTGAATTCTTCTGTGTTGTCCTCAAAGGTCGATTACCACCCTTACATCTTCGCTCTACTGGGTCATAGTTCCTGCATAAAGAACAAATTTGATAAAATAGGGAATATAAATTCATCAGTAAATAAATACAATTGTAGATACTAGATATTTAAAAGCACAACTCATGCAATAAAAAACAGAATAAGATTGCATACTCATTCATCATTCCACCATTGATGGAATCACAATAGCGCTTCAACCACTGCAGAAACTCCAGATTGTCCAAAGTTCGAGCTTTTACAAGCTTATTAACGTCAATATGCTGAAAGTATTAATAAACAAAAGTCATATTAACTACTTGAAAAAATGCTTTTCCATTTATTATGCAACCTAATTTAAAATTTGGTTACAGCTGAAGGCTTTACAGTGTAGGAACTGGGAACAGGAAGTAACAAACCTAAGCTATATGAAACCAACTACTTGGAAAATCTGATGGATACTGACATATGAGACTATCAAGAGTATGAAAATATCCAACAAAACATGTAAGAGGGGCCATAAACTCCTAAGAAGCCTTTAATAGAATTCCTCATGTCCTCGTATGAAACCCACAATTTGCAGGAAAAACATCAGATTATCATGATAACTCGTTACAAATGCAAATGAGTTATAACATGTCTCTTAATCACCAGAACAGTATTAACCATGCATTATTGCATTCTTCTATTTTCATGGCAATTATTTCCAATGAGTTCTTCAGCTTCATACAGCTGAATCATAGTAACTGACTAATTGTGGTCTCACAGTACTTTGAGTGACAATTCATATTTTTCTTGTGCATAGTAATTCAAGGCAACCACAGTGCAATGCAGGTACATATATCGATCTCATTGCTCCAATCAGATTATATTGCATTGTACAAGTTGGGAAAGAGAAATCAAGAACTAGGGGGCATATTGATGAGAAGATAATCATGAAACATCTATAATTACCTTATCAATTTTTAACTTGCTGAAAACATCTTGCAAAATCTTATAATTCTGGATATAATCATATTCTGTCTTGCCATCAAAGTTCACCTACAAACAAAACAAACTCCGTCAACTCCATTGAAGGTATACCGAATGGATTTACAAGCTTTGTAATAAAATCAGACAAAGAAAAAACTTCATACCTTGTGCATGGGAACAACTCCTGGATATATCATGTCCATCATTTGACATTGCACTGCGCCAGATGCAGCCTATTCACCGCATCATAAATACATAAATGTAAAACAAATTATATTAATGGGGATAACAAGAAAAAAGATGCAAACACATTCATCATATACATTATACTCAAAAGAATGAGATAACAACCGGATATTGAAACCTTATATGGCTATGGGAGGAAAAAGACTATGCCAGCAGACAGTATAGCTAGCACTCACATTGTATTCAAATTAACAGAAACATAAATTTCCATAAACAATACTCAGGTGATGTATTCAGCTTTAGTGCTTTTGTTTAAACCAGCAATACTGATGGAATAAAGCAGAGAATCTGATGATCTAAGCACGTAAATCTTCTGTCATTCAACAGTCATGGTCCTAGTTACTCTTCTCCAAAACCCCAACAAAGTTACTAAAAGAAACGAAATAGATCTTACTATCCACCATTCCAATTCACACAGATCTCCACTTCTGCCAACTGAAGAATTCAAACCCATCATTCCACAAAATATCCATCACAAAGAACATGTCTTCAGCAAGTCTAAAGCATAACATTTCCCCATTTGGGGTGGATTTGATAGTTGGCTTTACTATGAGTAAAAAATATTACCAAGTTATAGCCTCTAACACACTATTAAATGACAATTACAGCCTCATTTTCCTTTGTTCCTAAATCTTAAAACTTAAATTTCATGTAACAGTAAAGCACTTTCTAATTAGAATTTTTCTCTTACCAAAAACCATTGTGCAACGTCAATAGGGTCATAAACTCGTAATGTGGATGCCAACAAGCTTAGTTGGTTAAAGGTTTACATGCATTACCCAATACAAATCGAAACATACCGACATCACTACCTTTAGTACAAAAAACACAACAAACAAAACATAAAAAAAGGGGTCATAATCATGGGAAGTGGCACTAAACTAGGCACTCCTTAACCAAATATGCAAATTCTTTTTTTTTTCAGTGTTTTGAAGGTGGAACTCAAAGTCCGGAGATCGAATCCCGTCTACATAATTGTTGGCTTTCTTTACTCCAAAGAAACAATATAAAAAAAGCATTTTTTTACATAGACTAACAATGTACATCCAAAATCTGAAACCACCCAACAGAAATTCCAACACCACATTCCTACATTTACAAAATTCCAGAAGAAAGAACAATTAATAAAAATTTGAATCATATCAAAATTCCAAAATTCTTATAAAATTCAAATTTCAAAACAAAAAATCAAAAAAAAAAAAAAAAAAATTGAAAGGAAGTATAAATGTATATACCTCTTCAATTCTAGAGAGATTAAGTTGAAGGCTGTTATTAATCCATTGCAAAATCTCATTCCTCCCCACAAAATATGCACTGTCCATCATTCCAATATTCGACGCCATACTTTCTCTCTCTTCTCAATTCTTACCAAAATGTGCAACTTTCTGAAAAAACCCAATTGAAATCTGGGTCTTTTAATACAAATTCTAAAACCTCCAACCCAAATTCTGAAAAATAAAAATGGGTTTTAATTGTTGGGTTTATTTAAATCAAAAGAGGAAATTTGAGGAATGGGAATTGAATAGAGGAGACCCCACGCCTTTATTGAAAAGAACGTTAAAGAATTATGGGTAAGCGTTATTAATACAATTAATTAATTTAGGGTTCCGCCATTATTAATTACATTCGAGAAATGATGTGACAATTGGGTTTGTATGTGAAGAGAATGCAAAGAGGGACAAAAGGCTGGCAAACACCCGGTAAAGAATGAAGGATGTTTACAACCCACCCATGAGATGTTCAACTTTTAATTTTTTTTTTTTTTTGGTACGGAGAAACTGCTAACGGTCCGTTTGGTAAGTGATTATATGTTGTAACAATTGACAGTAATAAATTGATAATGCAAATGATTTCTTAACATATTAGAATTATCTTATTGGTATGATGTTTATATGATTTTTTTTTCCGAGGAAAATCTTCTCCTATAATGAGTGGTGAGAATCAACCTTTGAAAGTCGGAGAACTAGTCAACTACTCTAGTCTCCTATCCCATTGATATATGTATAATAATTTATACCTATGTAGTAATATAAATCCAATTTGAACTTTATTAACTAAAGTAGTTGGTATCCCAAATATCCTCTATATTCAAACTCTAATAAGTTAAGGCTATGTACTCTAAATAAGGAGTACAATACAAACATGTTGGTGGAATGACTGGAATCTATACCTTGATATAATTGCATGCTTGGATCCCAAGACAGGAATTCTTTAGAGAGTTGCTTGTTAAGTGCATCATTACTAGTCATGTGATATTGTGAGAAGCAACAACACAAGCTTCAGCCTAGCTAAAGTTTATAGACATCACAAGAGCAAAGCAAAAAAATGTTAACAGGCTTTAATCTGACTCATACAGCCTTTGACAGTTATAAAAATATCATTCATAAACTTAACAATTATTCATATTGTATAAAGTATTAAAGTATAATTATCACTTTATCAGCAATGAATAAGAAAGGAAATTATATATATAATATATAGAAAATGAGAATGTTGCTCCAGATCCGGCACTATGGGATTGTGGAAACTTCCCTTTTAGGTAATTAATAATCATTTAGACAATTAGACAGGTAGGTCAACCACCCCCTTCTTTAAGTTTTACAAGACTTTGACCTCATAATTATGTGTAATAATGATACTTTTATTAATAAGAAATGTACTAATGTATGTTGATCTTATCTAATGATCCCTGCTTTGAGAGAAATGCTTAGCAATTCTTGCTAACATTAATCATCTTGCTGATAAGTTCATCTCCTTTCAACAAGGGCTTAATTTGAAGGATTAGTTGTACTTGTAATGTAAGTTGTAATCTTGAAGGGGAAGTTGTAGGATTTGTGTGATAGTAGTAATGAAAGCTGTGCTACTTGAGCATGAGTCTAGATTTTTATGAGTTAGCACAATTGAGGGTTCGTTGTGTTCGTTTACTTGAAACAAGTTTTTATGACTAATTAGGTGCAACTAGGGCTGGTTAGGTTCAATCAGGTGTAAACACAAGGTGAAATTTAAGGTTAATTAACTCTAGATAATTAGGGTCTGTTCTCATTGAATGAACTCAGTTGAACTGAACTGAAATGAATATTTTATAAGAGAAGGAAATTAGGAGGTGAAGTGAACTGAAGTGAACTGAATTGGGCTGAGTTGAACTGAACTGAATTGAATTTCAACGTATGAGAATAAGCCCTAAGTTTAGATGATCTTAGGTGAAGAAAATGCCCCTTAAGTTCAACTTAAACTCGTTAATTAATTCAAGAATGTTTTAAGCCATGGTATATTAGTCATTTAGTCTATTAGACGGAATTCAAATCATACTTAATTCTTGTTAAATCATTCTATGGTATATATAATTTCTCTATACTAATGATGACGTGAAATTAAAGTTGTAGGAAACTAGGGTGAGTACCAAAATAATTGTTTACAAATTGTTCGAAATCCATTTGGTCATAATTTGCTTACTCGTGTAGTCATTTGTAAAGCTATATTACTTATACACTCGTATATTGAATAGTAAAAATTAAACAAGTCAAATTAAAACATACAAATTATTATTTGAATTTTACAATAATTTTTTTTTTAATAAAATGATGGTTCTTAAGTTTTCTTGTCCCAAATTAACTTCTTAATAGTTTGAATTAGATTAAACCCGTGCGATGCACGGTTTGTTTGATTTTTAAAAAATAATTTTTTTATATTAATTTGCTAAAATTTGTGATATATTTAGATAAAATTCCTAATATTAAAAGGTAATATATAATATTTAATTAATTTAAACTTCGAAATTTCATTTGCCAATTTTGCCTACGTGACATTTGAATTATTTAATTCTAAAAAAATTTAATAATCTTGGTTTCAAAAAAAAAACAATAATAATAATCTCTTATTTAATTAGCTACAACAAAAATTTATAATCCTACATGACGCGCTAAGAAAACTAAATCCCACGTGGCTCTTCAAAAACTCGGGAAAAAACTCCCCTTTATATATATATATATATATATATATATATATATATATATATATATATATATATATATATATATATATATATATATATATATATATATACTAGATGAAGCCCGTGCGATGCACGGTTTTTTTTTTTTATTTGTGAGCTAAAATTTGTTATATATTTAGATAAAATTCTTAATATTAAAAGATAATATTTAATATTTAATTAATTTAAACTTAAAAATCTATTCGCCAATTTTGCTTACGTGGCATTTGAATTATTTAATTCTAAAAGAAATTAATAATCTCTTATTTAATTGGCTACTACTAAGATTTATAATCCTACATGACGCGCTGAGAAAATTAGATCCTCCGTGGCTCTCTAAAAACTCGGGAAAAAACTTCCTTTTAAATATATATTCTAGTTTTGTACCCCGGCGATGCCCGGGTAGTTCATGGACTTTTAAGATAAAATTATACTATTATAAGTCAATTTGATTGAATATAGAATTCTAAATTAATTTTTTTTTTCTACAAAATCAATCTACGTGGTACGATACTTGGCGAAAAATTAAAACACTAAATGATGTTGTCTTGTGGCCTAATTATAAATTTATTATTTGATATTTTATCGAAGAAATAACTCTAAACTAATAATCTTATTCTAAAATTCTATCCTAATTTGATTGAATAGAATTCTTACCTAATTTTTTTTGTCATATGAAATCTATCTAAGGTGGCACGACACTTGACGGTTTTTTTTTATCATATGAAGTCTATTTAAATCTATCCAACGTTATTTTGTATAGATCTTGTGAATGCGGAGTTTTGTGCCCCGTGCAATGTTCGGGTTGTTTATGAAATCTATTTAAATCTATCCAACGTGGTGCGACACTCAAATTTTATTTTATCAAAAATAAAACTCTAAACTATTATCCTAAAATTCTATCCAAATTTGATTCAAAATAGAATTTCAAACTAATTTTTTATTTTTTTTTATCTTATGGAGTCTATTTAAATTTATCCAACGTGGCGCAACACTTGGCGAAAAGTTAGAATGCCAAGTGTCGCTGCCTCGTGACCTAGGTAAAAGTTTAACTTTATATCTTAGTTACTAGTTTTATGTCTCGTACGATGCCTGGGTTGTTTATTGAATTATAAAATAAATTTTTAATCTTTATACGATTGTGAAGTATATTATTTTAACCGATTAGTATATATTATAAATGTATGTTTTACGCTTTGAATTATTTCCTTTGCCCAAAAAATATTATGATACAAAAAATAATTTATTAATTTTTAAGAATTATAATCTAATAATTTTTTTAATAAAATTATAATTGAATTTGTACATTTGAAATATTGGTATTTTATCGAAAATAAAACTAATTTTATCCTAAAATTCTATCCAAATAGAATTTTAAATTAACTATTTTTATCTTATGAGGTCTATTTAAATCTATCCAAAGTGGCGAAAAGTTAGAACGCCAAGTGTCGCAGCCTCGTGACCTGGCTAAAAGTTTAGCTTTATAGTTATATATGATTAGATTAGATTGAAGTTAGTCGGTATTATATCATTATTTATCAAGACAATTACTTTTTACTATTATAGAGTGAAGATACATATTGAATTGTGCTCGATATTTTTTATTTTATTTTATTATTAATAGCAAGCTAATTTAGCTAATCTCAAATATGTTTTGCTAGCCGGAATTCGAACTTATAGTACATTATGAAATTTAAATTTTTTAGCAAAAGTATTTCAAATTGATTCAATTTATGGCTTGATATTTTTTGTCGTTTAATATGTGCTCGATATATAAATTATAAAAATCGGCATGTATGTTTAAGAAGAAATTAGGCCTTCATATAATTTTTTTACTTTTTCAATTGAGATAGGTTAAATAAGTTTCATTTATTTTGCTACTTGTTTTAGTTTTTGTTGCTTAAAAAACCAAACCTCTTTCCAAGTTTCATTTATTTTAATTTGCTACTTTTATTTTTGAATAGTTTTAATTTGCTACTTGTTTTAGTTTTTGTTGCTTAAAAAACCAAACTTCTTTCCATTGAAGGAGCCCTTATTTATCTCTATGATAAACGAAGAGGCAAAATTGGAAAACTCGCTACTTTTTACTTAAAGCAATAGTTTTACCTCAAACCACTATTTTAAATAATGGATTTACTTATAGACATTGCAAAATCACGAGTTTATTTAAGCCCTATTTACTTCACCTTAAAATATATATTAAAAAAATAATAATAATTTTCATTCAATGAAAATAATTTAAGTTTTAAAAAAAATAGTTCAGTAAAAATGATATCAGCTCAATAAAAATCATTAATTTTAAAGAATAAAGCTCTGTTCACTTCATTTTATTTTTGCTGATTGAAATTAATTTTACAGAATTCATTTTTGCCGAACTTAAATTATTTCACTGAACTTAAATTAATTCATTGAACTAAAGTTATTTTTATTGATAATCTATTACTTCGTATAATTCTTTTATTTATTTATTTATTTTGAAAGATCCTATAATTCTTTTTTAATATTACTGATATTTACTGAATTGTGAACAGACCTAAATATTATTAAGAATTAGTGAAAATAATTTTAAAAATATTTTGATTTAGTAAGATTAATTTGAGAAAGTAAAAACAATTTTAAATTTTTAATTCATCACTAATAAAGTGAAGTGAAAAAGGGTTAAAATTTTGCCATTTATTACGAGTTACAACTATAGACACTCCGTCCCACTTTCGCACCAAACCAAAACCACACTCGCACCTCTCTTGTCCTCCTCCGCCGCCGCAAATGGCGTTCCTCCGAGCACGCACCACCCTTCTAACCACCTTCCGCCGCACCTTCTCTTCCTCCTCCTCAACCCCCATCAACGAAACCAAACCCCCAAAAATGGCCGACTATCTCCTAACCAACGATCTCGCCTCCCAAATCGGCACTTCAATGCCCATCTCAATGATGCGAATCGGAACCCTAATCCACAACATCGAGCTCCGACCCAGTGAAGGGGGCAAGCTCGTCCGCTCTGCCGGCACCGTCGCTAAAATCCTCAAGGAACCCTCGTCCACCCGCCGCGTCCTGGTTCGCCTCCCTTCTGGGGTTAGCAAGCTTATTGATACTCGATGTCGCGCTACAATTGGGTCTGTTTCGAACCCTTCTCATGGGGCCAAGAAGCTCAAGAAAGCTGGGAATAGTCGGTGGCTTGGAAGAAGACCGGTGGTTCGTGGTGTTGCTATGAACCCTATTGATCATCCTCATGGTGGTGGTGAAGGGAAGAGTAAAGGGCATTTGTCTGTTTCTCCTTGGGGTAAGCCTACTAAAGGTGGGTATAAGACTGCTTGTCCTAAGAAGAAGAATCGCCTTATTTAGGATCCTTTGATTTTGGGTAAGTTTGATTTTTTTTTTTTTGTTGAATAATTTGGTAAATTTTTTTATTTTGGTGAATTTGATTTGATATGAAAGTTATAATTTTGAGGTTCTTTTTTTATGTTTAAGTTATAATTATCATTTGGTTTTGTAGTTATTTTTATTTAAGCTGGTGGATTTTGGTTGTTTAGTTCAGTTCAGTGATAAGTGGGGTTCTTTGGTTGTGATTGAGAATATTTTACTTTTTTCCTATTTTTGGTGTTTGGTATCATGGAAATGATTTGAATGCACTGAATTCAATTCAAGCCGGTCGAATTTCTAAATTTGATCTTAATTTCATTGTGGAGGGAGGAAGTGGAAGTTTATATTGGTGATTGGAGAATAAGGGGTGAATTAGAAGAAAATGGCGTGGAGATTAGTTGAGGAGGGGTTTAAAATGACATTGGCTGCCGATCCAGCTGCTGATATCTCATGGATCATTCACATTCTGGAGTTACAAAGAAAGGTTGATTATATGCATTGTTTTATTGTGTCTTGTTATTATAACTACTTCTATTAGTTTTGGTTTTACATTGCCCCGTTTTTGTAAGGTTCTTAGCTTGATCGTTGGGTTTTTGTTCCTATCTTAGTTGAGAATGCCTTGTATGAGTATGATGATCAATTGGGAGCTTATTGTATGAAGGCAATCGTGCTTAATTTTGGTAGGATCTGACAGTTTGACAGTGAGTTATGCCAGCTTGCCAGGAGCTAGACTGCTAGAGGCTGAGCTATAATTATCATTTCGTTTCTCTAGTGAATTTTGGTTGTTCAATTCAGTTTAGTGATTAGTGGAGTTCTTTGTGACAGGCATTGCTTAAAATTTTCGTAATTTTGTGTTTGATATGAAGGAAGTGATTTGAAAGTGTTGAGTTTGATTCAAGTCGGTTGAATGTAGGAAGCTTTGGATGTTTTATTTTGAAAATAAGGGGTGAATATTAGGAGAATAAGGTAGGGTGATTAATGGAGGAGGGGTCTGAAATGGAGATACTGTAAGGATGGAGATGGAGATGGAGAATTTTTCAAAATTGTAAGATTCCCATATTAACTTATTCTATACCTTCTTATCATGGATTCCTCAACTGTTTGATTTTTGTTGAGGTCTTTTGGTTCCTATGGGCTATGGCACCCTGTTTTCTGGTCAATGCTTTAACATCACCAGTTCCTTATTTCTTTCAGCTGCTAATAAGTAATAAATACCTTGGATTTGATGATTTTAGATAATGATTCTTCTGACTTCCTTCACGGCAATAGGGAATTAGGGATAGGGTTGGGTTGGGTTGGTTAGTTCCAATGCACACAGACATTTATGTGCTGTAAGATGCGGTGATTCTAGTTTCAATACGTGTGGGAGTTGCCTACCTGGGGCTCCTTTAGATTATGGTTCTTGACCTTTTTTTTACTTACTAGTTGTGGGAGCGCTCCCTTCCCCCCCCCCCCCCAACCACCACAAATTTGCGTAAGTAAACTTTGGGAAATGCTAATCGCGGTTGGTGAAGGTTGATTAAAATGCATGGTGGTTAGAGCATAAATTCACCTAATCGATATCAGTGAGGATGATTTTTTATCAACATGTTTATTGGATATGGACTCAAGGTATTCTATGAAAATCATTATAGGATAGTTGATAGTATGACCCTCTAGTCAAACAAAAGAATTCACGAATGAAATAATCAGTGACTATTATATCTGAAACAGATGAAACATTATAAGAAATCTAATTGTAGGAATTAAATAATCGGTCTTGTCTTGGGAGATGTTTTAATGGATTTAACGTGTTTGATTTCTCTCTCCTTGTCTTGCGATATTGCTACAATTCCAGTAGATTAGAAGGAGGAGCAAAGATTAATAAGCTCACATTGGCTGGTAAATTCTTGAGGACGATCATGCAAAATGGTTTACAACAAACATTCATGTTCTCTCTACTAGCTTATTTATCCTCATTTAAGTTCCAAAAGAGAAGTAAGCCAGGTTGTTTTTATTCATTTTGAGGGATCTTTCTACAAAGATTTCATATGGGGCGCCTTGGAGATTTCACTGTCTAATATGTGATTTAATTGGATCACGCTACAAGAAACTCGTGGTTGATGTTATGTTTCCTCTACTGCAGTGAGTAGATTAAGATATCATGCTTCCCTTCGCCATGCGTAATTCCTGTAGAATGGGCTGTTAAATAATTATTACGGAGGTATTATTTAAGCTACTGGGTTTGTTTGTTCAATTTAGTTTAGTATTAGTGGGGTTCTTTGTTTGTGATTGGGAGTGATTTTTTGTCTTATTTGGTGCCTGACATGATAGAAATTTGAAATTTGATCTCAAATTCATTGTAGAGGGAGCTTTGGGAGTTTTATATTGGTTTTTGGATGCCAAGGGGTGAACATCCGGAGAAAAAGGTGTGGAGATTAGTGGAGGGGTTTGTAATCAAAAGGACATGGGCTACTAATCTAACTGAAATATTATGGATCATTCACATTTCGATTTAACAAAGGGAGTTTAATTTGGTGTAACACGCATTATTTTATTGAGCCTTGTTAGTTAAACTGTGAGCTTGATCATTGAGTTTCTAATCATATCGTAATTGGGAGTGATTTGTATGAGTATGATGATCGAATATTTGCTCGTTATCTAGCAGCTTATAGTGAAGATACTTGTGTTTAGTTCTGGTAGGAGCTGGTAGTGAGTTATGTAAGGAGCTATATAAGTGGTGCTCACTGAGGCCTTTTTGAAAAGGTTGCAACAATTGATGCTTCAAATTCAGGTCTTTAAGTAACATTTATGTTTTATGGAAAGCAGATTGGGGGTATTTGTATTATTGTATAGAAAGATCAATGATGGTGAAAATTCCATAATGTAACTGAAAGTTATTGGTTATGTCTTTGGGCATGCATTAGCTGAGGATCAAGATAGTGTGCTGAATTTTTAATGATTTTGTGACTAGCACATTTAGCCTGAATGTTTTCTGTTGCTTCTTTTTTGTTTTTCATTATAAGGTTAGAGAATTGTTCCCAATTTTAAAGATTCTCCTTGTCACGGATTCCTCCTCTGAGTGATTTTGTAGGGGCCTATTGGTTTCTTTGGTGCCCTTTTTGCCAACCCTCATCTCTTGGTTCTTTTGGTACATAGGTAATATTATGCTTTGGATGAACTTAGATTATATTACTCTTTTGACCCCCTTCGCGGAAATGGGGAATAAGGGATAGGGTTGGGTTGTTTGTTTTAAGATGTGATTCTAGCTTGATAACTTGTGAGAGTTGCCTACATGGGGATCTTCTCAATTATGATTCTTTTGACCTTTTTACTTATATATGGGGATCTAGGATAGGGGTATTGTTACTTTGACACTCACTCATACTATGGTTTATATTAAGATGTCAAGTGATTACTCTAACAATAAATATGAGTTGCCTAAAATAGATTTCTTTGGTCATCATTGACTTCAACTATGGTAATTTATGGAAGTAACAGAGGTCACAAAAGGTTGCAAAAATGGACCTAATAGAAGCATTTGAGTGTCGTGGAAAAGCCTTAAAAGAGAGCACGCAATCATTACTTGGGAGGCAGATTGTGGGTGGGATATGCAATGTTTGTATTGAAGATCTATTGATGGCCAGTGTTTCTTATTGAGGATTTTGATTTTTTGTGATCAGGCATGCGCTAGTAGATTACCAAGATATTGTTTTAAACATTCTATGTTTCCTAGTTTAATGGATGCTATTTACGCTAATGGTTACCTTGTGTAAATAGAATGTAGTGCTGAGATGTGTGGAGGTGATTTTTGTTCCTTTTGTGAGGGATCTTGTGACTTCATGATTTCACTTGATCACGCAACAGAGGTGGCTTGTATTTCACTTCATGAGTTTATCAATGTTTCAGATTATGCTTCTTTTCGGGGGTTGAGTATAGGAATAGGATTGGCTTGTATTTCACTTGTACACATCTTTTAAAAAATTATGTGGTTAGATTTCTATTGACTGTGACTTTAGTTGCCTTTGTATATATATGATCCATGAGAAGTTACTCGGTGTTTTGTTAAAAGACTTGGAATTCTTGCATCTTATGTACCTCAAACTGTTTTAATTTCCTGAAACCGTTGTTTGTATTTAATATTCTGCAATGCATCTTGATCCTTCAAAAAGACAACACCCTTTTTTCTTGAGAACTACTTCGTGCCTTCACTGCATATGAATTCACTATCAGTAATTCCCATGATAAATGAAGCATTTCCACATTTATAATTACTCTCCGATCTGCAGTTAGGTCATTCCAGCAGCTGCCATGTAAGTCTATTAGAACATCTTCAACTTCTGGTAATTTAGGAAGCGTTGGAATTCCAATAGAAGGCCTGATAGACATCCGTTGTGGCTTGTTCTGGAGTTGTGAAATATAACCAGTGTTAAGTGAGCTTTTCTGATCAACATACGTGACAGATCTAATGATAAAATACTTTTACATGTTCTTGGTTCTATTTTTTTGAAGATAGCTATGGTAACTAGTAAGTTTGGCTATGCTTCTTTGATGGAATGACGGTATAGTTTCTATTCTGTGGCCGGTCCTTTTAAGGTTTCCTTGCCATATTGCTTGATTGCTTCTTTCACGGTCCTGTTATCCGTTAATGCTTTCCTGTTTGGGATTTTGCTTCAGGAGAATATCCTTAGGATTAATGAATAATTTGATCCTGAAGTCCATTTTTTGTAGGTATTTCTTCGACCATCTTTTGGAAAAATTAATTTGGTATTACCTGCTAATTCACTAAGTGCTTGTATTGTTCATATTTATAGTACTGTTACTTCTTCCCTAAGGTGAAGGTTTAATAACTTGGATGTTAATCGATGACATGTGAGTTGTGACGAAATTGGGGGAATAACGAAAGTCTTGGTAATGTCAGTGTAAAATTTTACAATATAAATTTCTGTTATATTTTTATAGTCTAATATGTATTGTAAGTTGTAACAGTTTAATTGATGCATTTAAAAAGAAACTATAAAATTAACTTGAAGAAAAATGAAAATTTTTACTGAAGTGGAAATGGTTAGACTTGCACATAATTTAATAATTTGCTACTTATCACTTTGTACTACCATGTATTTTGCAATATATCAATAATCTTCTGCCTTAGGTTTAAAGTTAGCCTTTTTTTTTTTTTTTTTTTCTAAAGTTTTAATGTTTTACTTGTATTATATTGGAGAATTCTTACCGATTTATAAATTGATATCTAAAAACTGATTGATAATCAGGATTATTATTATAATATTTGGTGGACTTTTAATAATCAACTCAACATTCCCTTTATAGACTAAACTTAACACCGAATATTTTAAGCATGAAGTACTGTCATGTTTACTGAGAACAAGACAAATGTACAAAAGTCCAGTTTTCTTTCGTTTTAATATAGTTATGTACTTCAATTAAGGTTACATAGATGTATAATATTGTCTTATATTACACCAACAATTTATAAATTACACCAACAAAGAGGGAGGAGGAGGGACTACTGCTGCAAGAGGGATCTAAGAACATCTGCATCAAGGTCTGTAGAAGCCAGCAACTGAGAAATTCTTTCACTCGTGTCGTCTACTTGTTTGTGAAGTTTCCTGATGTAGCTGCATACTTCTTCCAGAACTTCATCCCTTGAAACCTTAACATACAGATAATCAAAATGTGATCATTGATCAGCACAAGAAATCAAGAATGGACTATATACACATCTGCAAGCACTATTATCAAATCCTATGACCAAAGTCGACGATAAACATATATTGTTAGTCTAAAGGTTAAATGTAGTACGTTGTTATTGTTATTGTTGTGGTTTATGGTTGCATGAAGAGGAAGAAGAATGGACTGTTATTTTTCATAGTAGCTAGAATACTAAATCGATTCGAAAGCCCTACAAAATTCTTTTTGAGATAGTGAAAACAATAGGTTTCATGCATGTTTAGAGACAATAAGCTTAGAAACGAAGTTTGGGTAAATTTTCTTTTTTACATACCCTCCTTAAATGCCTACACCTTCTCTCTGGTAGCAATGCTTGCAGTTTGAAGATTAGTTCACTAATCTCATCTTCCCTAGGACATCGCGATGATAACGATTTTCGACTCGATGACATTGTTATCCACAAAGCTATTGTGCTATACTCTTCTTGCTTATGCCAGGGCATGCACTTGTAGTTCTCTTTGCTGAAGGGAGGAAAGATTTTTTTTATGACTAATATGGTGCAAAAGTGTTGTTTATATAGGAAGAAGATGATATTGGCATAATTAACACAACTTTGTCCAATAGGAATAAGGTTTTGGGACTTGGGCCCATGTGTTTAGTTACTGTATAATCTAAGGGCCCACAACAAACGTGGGCCACATCTTATAAAAGAAATGAAGATTTTTTTTGTCAAAGCCCACAATTTCACTAATTATTCTAATTTAGGTGAATCAAATTAGCAAATCTAGTGTATATGCAATGTACAAGAGAAGTTATATGAATAACATATGATTTGTTAATTTGTGCTTACATAATATGATCAATTCAGTTATTAATAACTATGATTATGATAATTTTATAATTTAGCTTGCCAAACCACATTGTCCATTGGTGTGTGTGTTTTGAGCATTTATATCTTGGATGGCTACTAGCTACCAGAAAGATACCATATTGTTCATTTTAATGTTTTGGTTGAAATTTTGTCTGCCCAAAACTTCTTACCCTTTCTTTTGTGACTTCTTGATATCTATTGAAATTCGTTAAAATGTATATACTACGTATATGGAATATGTTAGCTCTAAGATGTATTTTTGAAGTATTAACTTTATATAGTTTAAACGAATAAAACTATATAGTCAAAGTTTTATACATACAAGCATTAAAAAATGGTGTTGAGAAGTTTAAAAAATACAGAGGTAGTGTGTTCTATGTAGGTTGATTTCTCATTAGTTATAAGTAGCAATCTTCATTATTGTTTCGATTGTGGAGCAGCTCTATTAGATTTTATCAATCGCAAGATGGTTCTAGGTCACACTTGCAGGTTTATGAGGAGAGTATGGTAATAGTTATGAGTTTAACTTTTATAGAGAATTTATATTGCAATGGAATCATTGATGTTACCAGTCCTAACTTAAAGTCCTAACACTTAATTAAGTCATGGCGGTCTCAATTTTTGGGTTCTTTTTAAAACAGTCACTAACTGATTATGATTGGGTAAACCAATTAAATTGCCATGTGTTGAATATTTTGGTATGTTTTTACTAAATTACTACCTCCGTTACATATTAGTTGTATTTTTGGAATATTTTAATATTTTATGTCATACAAATAATACCCCAAAGTTGTAACTAATATATAACGGAGGTAGTATGTGTTTAATGGTGAACAAAACAAGGGCTAAAGGGAGGGGTTGGGTGTTTGTTGGAGGATGATTTTTATTTTTAACTACAACTAACGAGAACTATAAACCTATCAAACCAGTGAAACCATGATAGGGACTATTTTGAGGACTCCCCTATAGTTAAAGACCTTCCTAAGTTAATTGATACTCGAGAGTCTTGAGACCTATTTTGCCACTTAATAATGCAAAAAAAAAAAAAAAAAAAAAAAAAAATAAAATAAAATAAAATTAGTTGAGTGTTATTATTACTTCGATATTTATTCCCTATCAATCCTCATCACTAACCAAACAAACAACGATCAATATTTTATTAAATTCTCAAGGGTAGTTCTCTGTTTCTCCTTTTCACACTCTCGGATCCCTTAACTCCTACTCTCGTGTAACAAGCGTCTCCCGTGAATGTTGTACTCATATCGAAATATATTTCTTAGTATTGTGGTGTGGACAAAGTAATTTTAAAAGATAAACGGGGTATAAAACTATTAAAAAGTAATGAACACATATCTAAAGTAAAAAGAACATATTTATATTAAAAAAGAGTGAAAAGAACATATGTTCATGTTCTTTAATTGTCAGTGTAATGTACTTTTATTTGTGATATAATGTTAATTACTTATTGTGAAATGTTCTTTGATTTTATTTATTTATTTTTTAAATTATGGTGAATATACATAAATCATGTTCATTATAAATATTAGGGATGTTCTTTAGATGTATAAAAAAACATAAAATTAGATGGTCTTTACAAAACAGTTATATGTTCGTTACAAAACAGTTTTATGTTCTTTAAAAAACTGCTACATGTTCTTTTCGCGTTTTTAGCCTGTACCTTGCTAGGTACAGGCGACTGTACCTTAAAATTTTGGTCGGGCACAAAAGATAAGCTACAAGCTTATAACAAGACCACCAATTAGAACTATTACGAATTCATAGAAGGTTAATGAATTGATTCCAAAAATCAATATGTGATAGGAGTACTAACTCTGTATCATAGTGTGGAGTTTGTAAGTTACAAAAAAAAAATAAAAAAAAAATAAATAAATAAATAAACTTCTTATACTAAAGGCCTGCTCTCATAGACTAAACTCAGCTGAACTGAACTGAACTAAAATGAATAATTTATAAGAGAAGGAAATTAGGAGTTGAACTAAACTGAACTGAGCTGAAATGAAAATAAATGTATGAGAACAGGCCCTAAGTACATACTCCATGTTTCATATAATGATAGAGATAAAATCGTCAATGTCATAGTTGACCCATGGATGGGTTGTGGGCACCATTACTCATGTTGTTAATCAAGCCTTTCTACTTGTTTTCTTCACTTGAAATAAGGAGATGTGGTCTGATTTTCATAAGATCAGGTCTGGTCTGATCTGAATTTTTATTATCTGATCTGGTCCTATCTGATTAAATAATTTGACTAAAATTTTATCGCATTTTAAAATTTTAATACTAATCTGTAAAGAAAAACATCATCAAAATGGATTTTGTTAGATTCGTCTCATTATGAACTTTTTAAATATGTAATTTTCATATATTTTTTTTGGAATACGCAAGTTTAGCAATAAGTAAATGATTATTAAAAATTCTTATGTGATTTGATTTGAATGTTTCTAATCTAGTCTTATTTAGGCCTTGTTCCATCAAATTATTTTCAGTTCATCTCCTAATTTCCTTCTCTCATAAAATATTCATTTCAGCTCCTAATATCCTTCTCTCATAAAATATTTATTTTAGTTCAGATCAGCTCCAATATGGGTCTGTTCTCATACGTTTATTTTCAGTTCAGTTCAATTCATCTCCTAATTTCCTTCTCTTATAAAATATTCATTTCAGTTCAGTTCAGTTCAGCTCCTAATTTTCTTCTCTTATAAAATATTCATTTCAGTTCAGTTCAGTTCGGCCTATTAGAACAGGCCTTAAGTTCAGTTTAGCTTATTTCAATAATTAAGAACAAACTCTTAATCTGAATCTATTAAGAAATAAGTAATAAATACCTGAAATAATTGAAGAGATGTCCTTAGGCTGTAGATTCATCCCTTGAGTGCAGTGACAAATTTGGTTGGCTTGTTGTTCTATCCAAGTCTAAGCAATTAGAGTATATAGTAGGGTTTTCAGTTTTCACATGGATGTGCTTTGCTATATTTAGCAAGTCTTTGTCACAATGCAATTTGTTGATAGGTACATCGACTTTTAGATGTTTTGAGTTTTTTTTGACCCCTACCTCTTTTATTTCTGTCACTCTAAATTTAAACTGCTAATATAATTTACGAAATACTACCTCTTCTGTTTTATACATACGTAATATTTCACTCTATTTACCCTTATATTTTCCTAAGACTTTGTATGTGGTTTTTACAAAACAGAGAAATAAAAATTATTTTTAAAATATGGTAAATGGGTGCTACAATATGTTAGCATTATAATATGAAACGAAGATAGTAATCCGATAGAGTTTATTGTGACTTTACTCTTAGTAACCATGTAGGGTAGAAAGAGCTTGAAATTAAAAGTGTAAACTGTTATAAAGTACAAGCTGCAGCTTCCAAAGTGAAAAAAAATGGTGCCACTTACTATGATTCAAAGTAGAAGTAGTACTATGCCTCAAAAAAAAAAAAAAAAAAAAAAAAAAAAAAAAAAAAAAAAAAAAAAAAAAAAAAAGTAGAAGTAGTACTACTTGAGGAAATCGACAAAGCTTATAACTTTTCAAGTGACAACAAACATCACATGAGACTAAACAACTATGAGACGTGATTTTTGTTTTTAACTTTTTCAATCATACCACCTAAATTATTGGCCTGGCTTAGAATTCGTACTTCGTATGTGAAGGTGTAGAATAAGAATAGTTGGAAATTGCCCAGATCTCTTGAAATGAATAGAAAATGATGTATTACTACAAAACAGAATTATCACGTGTCAAAGATCACTACAAACAAACCAAAATAAATAAAAATAAAAATAAAATTACCACATCATTCACATGTCCAAATTTGATAGTACGGATAACTTAGATAAGTTTATCCCGCATATAGATTAAGGGTCAATATGACAATATGTTTACATTAGTTAACTTTGGTATCAATAATAATCATATTTAATTCACAATTACAATAAGTTCACATTTAAAAGCTATAAGTATTTCTTTCAAAAAAAAAAAAAAAAAACATAGCTACAAGTATTACATAGATGCAGGATGAGAAGCTATTATCGATCACTAATAATAACTGTAAAAATAAAACATTATAATGATTTTGCTTCTTATTTTGATATTTTTTTCAGCAAATACTTGGATTGCAATGCTCATTTGCTCAACACAAACTAAATCAAGATTAAATCCAATCATAATTCCTATTTCTACTTTGGAGCTAAAATTATAAATGGAATCAGGAATAGCATTTTTTGTTAACATTGGTCTTAATTCACTAATTTCGTTTTATATATTCAAAACATTTATAAAATACAACAATAATTAAGAGATAACATGCTACTTTGTATCTACTTTTTATAAGTTTTCGCATTATTTGACCCTATTTATTTTTGTCCATCTTAGATCTAACCTTTTAAAAATATTTTTTTTTATATTTTACGCATTGTTTAGGGCCTGTTCTCTTACGTTGAAATTCAGTTTAGTTCAGTTCAGTTCAGTTCAGCTCAGCTCCTAATTTCCTTCTCTTATAAAATATTCATTTCAGTTCAGTTCAGCTCAGCTCAGTTCAGTTCAACTCAATTCAGTTCAGTTCAGCTGAGTTCAGTCAATGAGAACATGCCCTTAGTCTAAGTTATGGGGGTATAACCACACATTGCTTTTCTCTTCTTCTTCTTCTTCTTTTTTTTTTTTCCAAATAATCTATCAAGATCCAAATTAGATGAATAAATCCATCCCAAATTGCTTTTTACACTTTTACATGAAGGTAATTCAAAATTGTTAATTTTTCTTTAGTCATGATCTCGAGGATTTAATCTTTGAATATAGGGAGAATGTAGAAGAAATCGAGAGAACGAAAAGAGACCCATGAAGAGCCTTCCTCCACCATTATATGTCCTCTCAACA